ATCACACTAAAAGGTATGTCCCTCAATATTGTCAATGCCTATGTGCCTCCCTCCACCCTTACTGTACCTGTCCCACTACACCATATCACCTCCACCCCCACTGTACTTCGCCACGCCTCGTACACTGGCAACCCTGAGCCTGGCCGCACTGTTTGTAAACTTTGTGGTCAACCGACTCTCACACCCTCTCTCACTACATCTTCACTTGCCGCTACCAACACCTCTTCCCTCCCTGACCAGATATCCCTCCTCCTAGTGACAAGCCTGGCACTTGACATTATTAGGGACCTGCCACACGTTGCCATAAACAGATAAATTGTACCGGGAATTTTCCCCCCACACACTCATCATTGTCACTTTATGTAACTTGCTGACAAAACCCATGACCCTTCAGGGTTTTACGCCCTTAATGCATGAGTCATAAAGGCAAGCATGAGCTCCGCATACTTCCCAGATGGGCGGTGTAAACGCTTCTGCGCTTCACCTTGCAAAGGATGTAACGGGGTGCCCAATAAACTAGCCCCCTCGGGGGTAATCTAAATCTAATCGCAGATAGCATCCAATCGCATTTAGAGAAAAGCAAATTAATCTACGACTCTCAACATGGGTTTCCAATGGGAAAATCTTGTCTAACAAATATGCTGACGTTTTTTAGGAAAGTCTTCGAGGTAGTAGTTAATGACGAAAATTACGATGTTATTTACTTAAACCTTAGCAACGCATTTGACAGAGTACCGCATCAGAGGCTTCTGAGAAAAATTAAGGCTCATGGTATCGAGGGGAAAGTTTTAAATTGGATAAAATCATGGCTCACCGATAGAACGCAGAGGGTCAGCGTAGATGGTGTTAAATCTGAGTGGGGCCGTGTAACCAGTGGGGTTCCCCAGGGGTCAGTACTAGGCCCACTCTTGTTCATAATCTACATAAACGATCTAGATACTAGGATCAGCAGTGACATAAGCAAGTTTGCGGATGACACCAAAATAGGGCGGCAGATTAATTCAGGGCAGGATGCAAATGCATTACAGGAGGATCTAAATAAACTGCAGGGGTGGTCTGAAAAATGGCAAATGAAATTCAACACCAGCAAGTGCAGCGTACTTAATATTGGAAGAACAAATACTGTCAATGTATACAGCCATAACAACATCAACCTAGAGAAGTCGACTTGTGAAAGAGACCTAGGGGTACTTGTAAGCCCGGACCTACGGCCTAGAAAACAGTGCGTTAATGTTCGAAATAAGGCAAACAGTGTATTGGGTTTTATATCTAGAAGTGTAAGTAATAAGAGTGCAGAGGTCTTATTGCAACTATATCTTGCGCTAGTCAGGCCGCACCTCGATTATGCGGTTCAGTTCTGGTGCCCTTATCATAGAATGGATATCAATTCACTAGAGTCGGTGCAGCGAAGAATGGCGAAAATGATTCCGGGACTTAGAAACCTTGCATATTAGGATAGGTTAAAGAAACTAAACTTGCATTCCCTAGAAAGACGAAGAGTGCGGGGAGATATGATAGAAGTATTTAAGTGGGTGAAAGGAATCAATAAAGGGGATATAGATAAAGTTCTTATAATATCCGAGCAGGATAGGAATCGAAGCAACGGATATAAGTTGGATAAGCTTAGGTTTAGGAGGGAGATAGGAAGGAACTGGTTCACAAATAGGGTGGTGGACGAGTGGAACAAGCTTAGCAACTTTGTAGTAAGTGCTGGAACGCTGGAAAGTTTTATAAGGAGGCTAGATAGATTCATGGATGATGGAGAGTGGTAGTAACTCTCGACAGGAGCTGCCATGCACAGGCCAACCGGCCTATTGCAGAATCCTTATTTTCTTGCGTTCTTATGTAATCTAGCGAGTGGAAAGTTATAGTGGGTGATAGAGTATATAAATCTAATGTAATTAATCCATTTATATAAATACTCCTGCCTATTGCAATACTAATAATAACAACAACACTCATAATAATAATAATAATAATAATAATAATAATAATAATAATAATAATAATAATAATAATAATAATAATAATAATAATAATAATAATAATAATAAAGAACCATAAAGAAATAAATTTTTTTAAAAAGATCAATAGTAAGGATCAATATACTGTACAGTTTGTACTGTATGTTGTGTTGTCAAAGTAAGAGAAACAATTGAGACCCTGCAATTGTGTGTAAATGTAGCAGAAAGTCAGATCAGCAGCCTGGGACTTGGTCACAATTTTTGTGATGCCATATGGCAGCAGGGTCTACCATTAGACAACACATTATGCTTCCGATATCTTCCCAGGCGGTAGTACCTCCCTGTTTGATAGCTGCCTACAACCTACTACCTAATAAGCCGAATGTAAACTTGATATCAGCTTAAGTAGACATGGGTGCGCCTTGTGTTTTATGAATCATCTGTAGAAGAACTTGTTTCACATAAGTTGGACATTACATTTTTAATAATTGAAAAAAAAAACATAAACGGAGCTCAATTCTATAAAAAAGATGTCTATCATATTTCAGTGATAAGAACCAACAGTGAAAAGATTTCGAATTCAATTTGTTTAAAGAATTCGTTAAAATCCACGCGCACTGTACAATTACTGAAACACACGCTTTAGAGGAATCTGATAACCACATAGGAAAAAAGAAACACGAAGATCTCAAGCGTTCTCGTGTAATTCACATCTTCAGGGGAGTACAGACTAAGTAGTAGTAGTAATAACAAGGCCAATATATGCAGTAAAGGAGAGTGAGATCAAATCCCTAGGGACAGCTGGTGTCCACTATACCCAAGTCATTAAGTACTTACCCAACGCTTTCACCTGGTTACAAATCTTCTTAATCACAAAATTCTTCGATTTGTACATACCATTACTGAAATTCATGCTAACACATTCAGCATGCTTAATGCTACTAGATTCTATAATGTTCCTCTTGATAATTGAATTACAAGTTAAAATTGAGGAGGCATCAGCCCAGTTAATATTATGATTCTTATCTCAATATAAGAACGAACAAAGCATTGGATTCCTGGCCTGTCCTAACACTATATTTATGCTGTTCAAGTCTAGCTAAAAGATCTTTGCTCGTCTGCCCTAAGTAGAATACACTAAATTCTTTGCATGGAACCTTGCAAATGCAGCCACCTGCCTTGCTGGGAGAGTTCTTAATTAACGTATGCTTTACAGTGCAAAAGTTATTAAGCGTTAATTTACGTTCCATATTTTCAGTTGTAGAGGAATTTGAGAGAAATTTTGGATCACCTGAAGAATTGACACCCCAGAGTTTGGCAGGGTGACAATTCTTCAGGTGGGATATCCTGGGGTGACGATTCTTCAGGTGGCAACACCTGGGGTGACAATTCTTCAGGTGATCCATTATTATTATTATGGGTTGGGCTTGGTTAGGTTAGGTTAGGCTAGTTTAGGTAATTAAGATTGAATTCATCATCGTGTACTCTATTTTTTCTTTAAGCTTTTCACAATAAAGATGCATAACACAAAGGAATATATTTATGTTATCCTAATTATACAAATCATATTCACTGTGGGCAAGGGTGACGATTCTTCAGGTGGAGCAGGCTGGGGTGACAATTCTTCAGGTGGGATATCCTGGGGTGACGATTCTTCAGGTGGACATTCTGGGGTGACGATTCTTCAGGTGATCCGAATTTTTCGCTAAAACGTAGTACTAAGAAATTCTTATTGTCATGCGGCATTTTAGGATAAGTTCTATAAAATTATTTCTTGGCCATGTTAAGACATATATCTATATATGATCTAGGGCACTTTAACTTCAATTCAATATTATAGATATATGTAAATTCCTCATCAACGAATTCCGGATTGCATATTAGTAGAGCACGTAAAAACAGATGACAATTCTGACTGTTTAACTCTGTTATAGTAGGCAAGATAATAATGAATATACGAACACAAATTAGTAGGTTTCTTATAAATATTGAACTTAAAGGTGTTACCTCCTCTGTAGAACAACCAGTCTAGGAACGACAATTGATAGTCACTTTCTAACTCCACTGTGAATTTGAACGAGGGGCTAAGTTGTTAAGTAGTGGTGGAAGAACTTTTAAGTCCTCATTACATGGCTAAAGACATACTACATCAACTACATATCTAAACCAAACTGCTGAAGGTGGTAAAATATTACTTAGTAGTTTCTTCTCATAAAATTCCATATATAAGTTGCTTAATACTGGTGAAAGCGGATTACCCAACGCCATGTGAATTTTTTTTATCATAATATTCTCCATTGAACTCAAATTTACATTCCTTAATACACAGTTTGATAAGTTAAATGAAAACATTTTTTTTGAGACGGGCAGGGGAATGTCCTCCAGGAATCAGCGAGGAACTCAAGCAACTCGTCAAATGGGACCCTTGTAGTCATAAACAGTCGTAAACTAAATCCAACTAAATCAAACTTAAAATCTAATAATATAATTTAGATTAGATTATTAAATTTAAGGTTAGTTAATGTTTTTTGTAGTTTTATTGTTTTAATTTTTAATCCTCTCATTTTCTGTAAACTGTTTTACAGAAAAAACATCATTGCATTTCTTACACGAGAATTTTTTGTATTTTTTACGCTGTATTAAACTTTGCACTGATATTGTTTCTTCATTTCTGTGTGACACTGATGATGAAGGTTATGTTCTTGAAAATATCTAATTGAAAATAAATATGTATTGTATGTCTACGCATTGAAGATGATTTTCCTAATACGTTTATGTTTGAGATTCGCTAAGGACAAGCCCATTAATTAAACTATATATATATATATATATATATATATATATATATATATATATATATATATATATATATATATATATATATATATATATATATGAAAATTATATCAGACGAGTATTATTAAAGTTATTGTAAATACAATATGACGCTGCGTCTCAAGCCAGCTTCTGCGCATCCCCCTTGTGTCACGCTTATAAATATGCCAGTCTGACCCAGGTGGGGAACAGTGACTCAGTGCTGCCGTGACGAGAAGAATTCTTCAGTTTCAATGCGTAAGTTAAGCTTGATCGACTTTTAATGGGATGGGTTACCATACTTTGCAAATTTAGTTAAGGTTCCACTGTATTATGTGGTCCAATAGATCACACATGTAAGGATAATCTTTGGGTCTGTTTAACTATATCATGTTATAAATATATAAATGCGCTAAAAATTTACTGAAGTGTCAATATATTAAATAAGCTTTATAATAGCGTTTTATTAAATATAAACAGATAACAAGTAAATACATCCGTGTGTTATATTATTTTTCATCTGTGCGTTCATGTTAGGAACAATAATCATCCCATAGATTAAGAAAACAGCTTAGAAGTGTATAAATCACCATGTGTCACAGAAAGACTTCTGGTTGAAGCAAGTTTGATTAGATAATTGAATTCTATAAACCTTAGTGATGGTTAGTACAAAACTGATAATATGTTACACAAATATATTTGTCAGTGACCCAAGGTTAAAAATGTTTTGAAAGCATTGGAGTTAGATGTTGGATAGATGATTGGTGGGCCCCATGTTTTTGACATGACTTGATATGACTAGTTACGTCGCCCTTTCTTTTAAGCTCCCTTGCGTGTGTGGTGGTGTTGGTGTGCGGATTAGTGGATGTCATGATTACGACTTGACCTCATGTTTAGTAAGGTCACCCTGTGTACTTAAGCCTCTCTCGGTCAATGTAATTGAGTTGCCTCTGAAGATGTATTGAATAGAGACGAAAGATAAGGTGCTCCTTTTTCCTGTGTTAATTTATCAAGATTTATCTCATCCATGGGAACTTCGTGTTTTCTTGTTTCCTTGTGGTTATCAGCATATACTTGGATCACGCGCACTTACAGTGATTTACTTGCACACTCACACACACACATATATATATATATATATATATATATATATATATATATATATATATATATATATATATATATATATATATATATATATATATATAAGAACATAAGGAGTCTGCAGTAGGCCGGTTGGCCTGTGCATGGCAGCTCCTGTCGAGAGTTACTACCACTCTCTATCATCCATGAATCTATCTAGCCTCCTTTTGAAACTTTCCAGAGTTCCCGCACTTACTACAAAGTTGCTAAGCTTGTTCCACTCGTCCACCACCCTATTTGTGAACCAGTTTCTTCCTATCTCCCTCCTAAACCTAAACTTATCCAACTTGAATCCGTTGCTCCGAGTCCTATCCTGCTCGGATATTATAAGAACTTTATCTATATCCCCTTTATTGATTCCTTTCACCCACTTAAATACTTCTACCATATCTCCCCGCACTCTTCGTCTTTCTAGGGAATGCAAGTTAAGTTTCTTTAACCTATCCTGATATGGAAGGTTTCTAAGTCCCGGAATCATTTTGTCATTCTTCGCTGCACCGACTCTAGTGAATTTATATCCATTCTATAATAGGGGCACCAGAACTGAACCGCATAATCGAGGTGCGGCCTGACTAGCGCAAGATATAGTTGCAATAAGACCTCTGCACTCTTGTTACTTACACTTCTAGATATAAAACCCAATACTCTGTTTCCTTATTCGAACATTAACGCACTGTTTTCTAGGCCGTAGGTCCGGGCTTACAAAGTACCCCTAGGTCTCTTTCACAAGTCGACTTCTCTAGGTTGATGTTGTTAAGGCTGTATACATTATAAGTATTTGTTCTTCCAATATTAAGTACGCTGCACTTGCTGGTGTTGAATTTCATTTGCCATTTTTCAGACAACCCCTGCAGTTTATTTAGATCCTCCTGTAATGCATTTGCATCCTGCCCTGAATTAATTTGCCGCCCTATTTTGGTGTCATCCGCAAACTTGTTGATGTCACTGCTGATCCCAGTATCTAGATCGTTTATGTAGATTATGAACAAGAGTGGGCCTAATACTGACCCCTGGGGAACCCCACTGGTTACACGGCCCCATTCAGATTTAACACCATCTACGTTGACCCTCTGCGTTCTATCGGTGAGCCATGATTTTATCCAATTTAAAACTTTCCCCTCGATACCATGAGCCTTAATTTTTCTCAGAAGCCTCTGATGCGCTACTCTGTCAAATGCTTTGCTAAAGTCTAAGTAAATAACATCGTAATTTTCGTCATTATCTACTACCTCGAAGACTTTCCTAAAAAACGTTAGCAGATTTGTTAGAAAAGATTTTCCATGTTGAGAGTCGTAGATTAATTTGCTTTTCTCTAGATGCGATCGGATGCTATCTGCTATAATTGATTCAAGAAATTTCCCCACTACTGACGTCAAACTGATCGGCCGGTAATTGGACACTGATGATCTGTCGCCCTTTTTGAATATGGGTACTACATTTGCCTGTTTCCACAGGGGATTTTGTTTTCTTCAGTTTATTTATCTTCTTAAGAGCATCCTCTTTTCTGATAGTGATATTCTTTAATTTCTCTTCTTCCTTTCCCTTAAATATCAGTTCCACCTCTGGACTTTAAAGGCCCAACTTTGTCCTTGACCTTTGTCCTATACACCTGGAAATATCCCTTGGGATTCGCCTTGGATTCTCTTGCTATTTTGATTTCATAGTCTCTCTTTGCTTTCCTTACATTTTTCTTAACATTCCTAGATAGTTCATTATACCTATTTCTGAGCTGCTCCTCCCCTCCCTTTAATTTCTTATATATTCCTTTCTTTATTCCTATGTCATGTTTAAGTTTTCTGGTCATCCACCTTGGCTCATTCTTATTTGACCTAATTTTTCTGTATGGTATATTTTGTTCTTGTGCTTTATGTAGTATACTAGTGAATATATTATAGTCATGAATTTGCATATTTCATATGCAAATGCATATTTTGCGTGATTTCTATGATAAGTGCATATTACCTAGATAACTGCATATAAATGCATATTTTGGTAAAATATTCATCTGGCAGTATCTCTTTGTTGCCACTGAATGAGCACACGTGGTACTGGGAGGTGAGGTGAGGTGTGGTTAGGTGAAGGGAGGTGAGGTCACGTCGCTTTAATCTGTCGTTTCCACACCTGGTCATGACTCATTGGACTAGTGAGTTAGTCAGTCAGGAGCAGTGCTGCTGTGTGGAGCTACTCTCTTCTGCTGCTCGTGAAAATGCCGAAAGTACAAAGAAACCAAAATGAAGTGCTGAGATCATATGTAAAGGAATTTGATGCATTTACTACTGATGGAAGTGTACTGTTTTGTAAATATTGTGAAGCACCAGTGACAGCGAGCAAGAAATTTCAAGTCCAACAACACCTTAAAACAAGCAAACACATCCGACTCGAAGCTGTTAAGTCCAATAGTGCACAAAAGGAGCAACAACTACTTCTTGCATGTTCCAGTAAGTCAGGGCCTGATCGTTCCCAGTTCAATGCAGATTTGTGCAAGGCATTTGTTTCAGCGGATATTCCATTGCATAAACTGAATAACAAGTGCCTAAAGTCATTCCTGGAACAGTATACTGGATGCTATTATTGACGAGACGGTACAGCCACTCACTATGTCAGACCTCCTCTGTATGAAACATGCACCAATCGTCTCGTGTGATGTAGAAAGGGTGTTCTCAGAATATAAAGCTATGCTGACAGACAACAGGCGGAGTTTTAACTTTGAGAACTTACGCCACCATGTCATCATCAAATGCAACCACAATCTGTAATGTCTGAAAATATGTCAGTCTATAATGTAAATGCATGTTCATATATATTTTTTGAAGCACTTTCACATATATATGTTAAATACATTACGTATATTGCTTAATAAACATTAACATTAGTTTATATTAACTATTTTGTTTCCGTATAACCTGCATTCTTGGCTTTATAAGTGACATTTTAGTGCATATAAATGAATATTTCCCCTGTTTTAGTGCATATTTGCATGCATATTTCATGGTTTTTTAGTGCATAACTATCCGGGCCCTAGTCATGATCAATTGTTGTGTCATCTATGACCTCACCCCTTCCTACTGGGGACTGACGTGACTGTTCCCAGGTGACCTCACCTAGGTACCTTCTTAACCCCTGATAATCCGCCAACCGAAAGTTTGGGACTCTGACCATATTGTCATTGTTTTTCGTTTCCCAATTTAGGGTGAACCTGATTTCTCTGTGATCACTGTTACCTAGTTCTTCCCCTACTGTGATATCTCTGACAATATTTTCTTTATTTGTTAATACTAGGTCTAATATATTGTCACCTCTAGTAGGTTCTGTAATTGGTTGTTTCAAAAAATTGTCCTGTACTGCGTCTAGGAAGTCTTCAGATTCATAGTCGCCTACAATGTTGTCCCAGTCAATATTTCTGAAGTTGAAATCCCCCATAATGCATTGGTTGTTATATTTTGCTGCCCTACTCATTTCTTGCCATATGGGCTGAGCTGCTTCTTTGCCAAGACTTGGGGGCCTGTAAATCATTCCCATAATTAGTTTTTCTCTTCCTTCCGTGATTTCTACCCACACAGACTCGGTTCCTATTTCACCCTTTATTGAATTATTAATACAACATTTTAATGTTTCCTTGACGAAGAGTGCGACCCCTCCCCCCTTCCTACCTTCAGTGTCCTTGTGAAAAGGGTTGTACCCTTCTATGTGGTACTCTGATAAAAAAAATTTGCACGCCAGATTCATCCAAGTTTCGGTGATTGCTATGACGTCTACATTCTCGGTACATACAACTGCTCTCAGCAAGTTTATTTTATTTCTAACGCTCCTACTGTTTGTATCGTATACATTTAAACCTACCCTTCCCTGGTCCTGTTTTACCCCTTGTCCTGAGCAACTAATTTTACTTCCCAGGACCTGCTTGTTTTTTGACTCCCACTTTCCCCGACCTCTCTCTACTGGCGAAACCCCCCCTTCGGAGTGACAAATTCACGCTCCAGGGATGCAGACAACGTCTTTACCCCCTCACGAGACAAGTGTACTCCATAGCGACTGTACAGGTAGTCGTTGCCATAGAATCGTTGCCAGTTATCAATGAATGCCCAACCATTGTTTGCACAATGTTTTTCCAGTCG